AACGTCTAAACTGATGCCGTTTTGCATTTCTATAGGTTTTAGATACGAGCATGGTTTTATATACTAACACGTTTAATCGTGTTTTATGCCGTTTGCCAAGACTTGATAAGTCGCTCGTAAAACACAGGAGGTATGGATAAGAACACCATATGTGGTAAATTGTACAGCTAATATAACACAACACATTAGTTGTATTTCCTTTAACTGGTGGATTATGGATATATAGTTGCTGATCGACAGCTGGAACACAAACCACCAAATACAACAACATTTTTCAGATCCAGTCGTCATGACTCCACTCCGGAGGGATTCCCCGATCATTTCTTACAGTTTCTCATCAAGAGGGTGTCTCCTGTCCCCGGTACAAACACACTGCCTGAGGAAGGTTATGTGTATTTTTTTTGTCATTAACTTTTTTCGGACCACTTATTTATTTATTTTGGTGACGATCCGACCTCCATGCTGCTACTCTGGTTCAAACTGCATCCACCAAACAATATGATTTATCTCGACCTCCCCACAATAACCAAAATCTGACACGGTGTGAGATGTCTTTTTTAGCTGTTCTATCGTCATTTCCTGCGATCTTCTTCATGCAGTCAGTCAAAATGAATGAATGAATGGGCGTTTCTTTGACTACCCTGCTGAAAAAACCAGCTTAGACCAACAAGGCTGGTCTGGCTGGTCAGGCTGGTAAACCAGCCTGACCAGCCAGTCAATATTAGGCTGGATTAGTTTGCTGGTTGAGAGGGGTTTTGGACACTTTAGCTGGTCAGGATAGCTGGTTTGGTCACAGTGGTCTAGCTGGTCACCATTAGCTGGTCAGGATAGCTGGTAAAAAGCTGGTGGTCACAGTGGTCTAGCTGGTCACCATTAGCTGGTCAGGATAGCTGGTAAAATCTGGTGGTTACAGTGGTCTAGCTGGTCACCATTAGCTGGTCCGACTGGTATGATCTTGAGTAGAACTTTAACTGGGATTACTTGATGGTTAAGCTGGTCATATATGATGATGAAACACTCTCACCCAATTGCAGTAGCTCAATGAACATCTATCATTTCAGATCAGAGCACCTACCTTACCAGAAAGGTACCAGAATGTATAGAATGTCTGTAAATAAATACTCATACATCAAATGATTAGAAGCAGGAAAATAATTTATAACACACAATGAACATTAACACACATTTGAAAACATTTTCAAAACACCCATTACTTCATATTGTTAAGCAATTTCCTTCAACTGTTTCTTTCCGTTTTTCACAAGGTCCTGTATTTTTTGTGAAATGTAGTAACCGGCCAACTTCTCGGTCTTCTCCACGTTTTGTGAATTCAGCCATCCTCTGAAGCACTCTTGAAAAGAGAAAGGAAAAACAGATTACATTTTAGCTTTGTGTTATGATTACTTAAATATGTGCACTGTGAGATGAAAAAGAAAAATGTATCAAGTTTAGTTTTGAACATTCACTGTGATTGGGTCTATTATCCACGCAATACACCGTATTTAATTTTTTATTTAATATTCTGTTCTTGTAAATATCATATTCTATTATATTACATGTATATAAACTTTTTGCACTACTTTTTATTTTGTATTTTTGTATTTTATTGTATATGTTGCATTGTTGGAGGAGCTCAGGTCAGAAGAATTGCATTGACATTTCTACACTGTAGCTGCTGAGCATATGAGAATAAAACCTTTGAATCTTGAATCCAACACTTTTTTCAGTGGAAAATCCTGAATTGTAGGATACTTTGGCCATAATAATGCTTTATGATTACATTTCTAGTGAGAAGTGTATATTTTACTTTCAGAATCTTCCTCCAGTGGATGTGTAGCATCTACAGTATGATAGATATATTACTTTACACAAGTATGTATTGTCATTCTTATTGTCGATAAATTGAGGGATATACACTATATTTTATTAACACCAGTATGTACTTTATACATCCACCTCGAGTGTTTGTCTCTGCACCGGAAATAATTTAATTTTAAAGTTCAACCGCATATTATATAGACTATATCAGCGCCACACCTGCGTAACACATGGTGCCTCTTGTCTGAACAATTTTTTAAGCGATTTGTCATCTATTCTTGTCGACTTGCAGCCTAAATACAAAGATAACTCCACTCTCCTACCACTGCTTACCTCTAATGAGCCTTGGTAGAACTAGTGTCCGAGTCGTGGGGTCCAGAACGGACTGAAGACATGTGGAACAGAGTCATGGGGTCCAGAACGGACTGAAGAGATGTGGAACAGAGTCATGGGGTCCAGAATGGACTGAAGACATGTGGAACAGAGGACAGGCATGGTTCCATGTACAGGGAACTTTTTGAACCTTTCTGCAGCGATGAATAAAGAAAACAAAGAAGACATTTTTAATAATAGTAATGATGGTAACAACAATTATATTAGTATAACTATTTATATAGCATTTACACAATTGCAAAGTGATTCTCACGACAAAAATAAAGAACAAAACAATATCAACAATAAAAAAACAAATGATTATAGGAATGTTAAGAGACAAAGAAATGATAAACATTCTGAGAGGCCGACTACAAAAGCTAGACTCAATGGCTCTTGATGACATCAATGAGCAGTCCCAATAGATGCTGTGGTATAAAAAGAAATAGAATAGGTCCAGATTTCTTCTATTTTGTGTTGGATGATTTGTTTTATTGATTGCTGATGGATGTATATATATAGGGTTTATTCAACAGCAGTAAAGCATTAAGTTGCTAAATTAACGTACACTGAACTGTTAAACAACTTACCACTATTTAGGAAAGGCTCTGATCAGGAGGGTTGACTAGTAGGACAGCAAAGAGGTGGTGTCATGTACAACCATTGGTAGATGTTACACCTGAAAGAAAGATAAGGAAATAAGAGAAGACAGGAGGACAAACATCCTCTTAAGTAAAAGACCAAATCAAGTCAAGCTTTAACCTGAGCCTGTTTTTTCAGTCTTTACAATGCACTGTTGGAAAATACCTTCCAAAGGCTACATTCAAACTCAATACCATAAATAACTGGGTACCAAAGTGCTTTACCTGATAGAACACGTTCCACACGGAGCAGCAACCATCCGGCTCGGCCTTTTGCTGCATATCATCTCCTCCCTCTCCACTGTTTCCAGTAGATCTCTACTGTCCAATAAAACTGAAATTCCCCAAAAAATCATATTAAAAAAGTTAAAAACAATAACTTGCTTTTGGCATTGAAATAGATTAGATTAGATTAGAATCTCACCTTTTTCCTGGATGTCAGGAAGGCGTTCCCTTCAAGTCCGCAACCAGTCATAGGGGTTCAAATGCAAAGCCTGAACGATGACAAGAGCGAGATTTACATTTTACAATTATATTTTTAATTCATACCAGAGCAGTGTGTACGACATGCAAAGAACAGATCAAGTCCCCTATTTATAGGCAAATATGGGCGTTACGAGTCGATTGTGATTTATAAAGGGAAACAGGCGTAGGAAGTGCCGTACGCACTTCCCTCGCCGGTACGCAATGTTTTGTGAATCGGAAAATGGCGGAAAATGTATGTACCTATTTTTGTGCTTTGTAAGCAACCTTCCTACGTCAATCCTACGCAAGGCATTATAAATGAGGCCCCTGGTCATCAGTACTCTGGGATTTTAACACTTTGGTATTTGCTGTGTGTCATGTGATACCTTGCGTGAACCGTTTAATCAACCTGTACTGTACTGTAGCTAGCAGCAGCAAGTTCGGTAGCATTATAAAAAATGTAATAGCTTGCATTTATAATTTACTGCAAACCAAAGCACAATAGCAGCGCTCAAAAGAGAAAGGACAAGAGAGAACAAGGAGATGTAACAGCTAAACTGACAAAATTAGACAGTCTTTTTGGTCATACATCGTCCTCGAAATCGAGCGCTAACGTTAGCAATGTTGACGTGCAGCGGCAGCCGGAGCCAGAGGCTAACGATAGCTCACCTGCCTCACCACCATCATTGCCATCTAGCTCCACAAGTGAAGCTGTATCCGTGGCCGTGGCTGTGCAACCTCCTTCTCCAGCCAGCCACGAGGAGAGGCTGGATTTGGCTGTGCCCGGCGGTGGTCCAACAGTTCCCCCAAGGGCCCCAACCAATAGGGGACTCTATGGCGCTATTGAGACCCCCGACGCCAAGATCAAAAGCTATATTATAGCAACCTGTCCATGTAGGCCTACCGGCCCATTCCCCAGAGACAAACATCAAGGAAACAGGTGTAATCCTCTTCTTAGTTCGCTGTGCCGTTGTCAGGCTGTGGTGGTTTGAGGCCAGGGCAGGCTGTTGTTGATAGCCTACATGTGGCGCTTCTGAGTGATAGTGTATGTCCGTGCGGGTGTGAGCGCATCAGTGTGCGCTTATGTTTGGGGCGATGGGGGGGGCCCAAAACAATATTTGCACCGGGGCCAATCACAACCTTGTTACGCCACTGGGGGGGGCCAATGGCCCCTTGGCCCCCCTGCTTCTGGCGCCCCTGATGCCAGGGTGGCATGGGAGGGCGGACAGTATGTGGTATTTTATACTGTATATAACCTATTTATTGTTAAATCATGCCCTAACACAAGTGTTCTTAATGCACAAGAGAAACAAGGTGTTCAGACAAACAAACTAAAATATAGTATAAAACAGCAGAAAATACTCATGATACCCTAGAATTCTGTTTACTGTAAGTAGGCTACAGTAAAAGTACTTAGTTATAATTAAGTACACAAATGACATTGCCCATCTCTTAAGAGAGCTAAAGATGACCTGTGCAGCAACACATTTCAATAAATATTTGTCAATACTAAGAGCCGCTAGATTGTGCTGCAAGGAGAATACTTTTTTTTTTTTTTTTATCACTCCAGCTACTCTCTTTTCCCACATTTATCATTGAAATAACTTATTAGCATGTAGTAATAAACAGACATGCTTTCTAACCATCCAGTTTCTGGCTTTCGTGAATTCACAATGTCTGCGCAGCTCGAACGCAAAAACGAAACCAAAACTAAACTCTTTCCTTTGGTTTCGTTTTCAAATAAATGACCTGACTGCAGAAAGATGCAGTCTACGATCACAGCGGTTGGTGAGTGCTTATTTTATATCAGTTTAAAGCGGGTTTTATTGAACTATTAAATGAACAGAAACGGCAATGTTTAATGCAGCCTAAAAGCTTTGTATGCAGCTGCAGAATAAAGACTCGTGATGCTCGTTACCTTAAATGACCTTAGCTATAATACATTTCAGGTCAGGCTGGAGGTAAAAGTTCACATTCCGTCAATACTTCATACGACTTTATATTCAAACGTAAGGCATTACACGATGTATTACCTTGCAAAACAGAAGTTATGTGTATATATAAATAATATACATAATCATGCGCATTAATAAAAACACGCATTCAAAATAGCTGCGCCATTGTAACTTATATTGACTACTGTATATTCTTAATTGACATTTCCCGTAATAAGTTTAACAGAACTCTTTTATAATAGCATTTCCAAGTATCTTATGATATGATAGAAATGTATACATTGCGTTGTAAATAATTCAGATATTACAAATGAAAGTAAACATCTCCATTAACTAATTGAAAGAGGTGTTTTATCTTTCTTACCCCGGATTTGTTCTTATTTGTTTTTACTTTTTTACAAACGTGTGCTTTCCTCTTTATTTAATGTTAGTCTACTCTTTCATTTGGTCTTAATCTGCACTGTTCCTTGTGCTGAAACAATGTAAATGTACCGGCTGTGGGAAGAAATGATGGATTTCTGATTCTTATCAAGAAATTTGCCATTTTGAATTGGAAATGGAACACTGTAATAGTAATATATTTACTAATATTACTTCCCTTCTTGCACTTTGCCAACAGTGGCCTTCTGTGTTATGATAATGATGTTTGTTGGTCAAGAAAAGAGTTGGTAGAAGTACTCAGATCTTGTACTTGAGTAAAAGTAGAATTACCAGAGTGTAGGAATACTCTGTTACAAGTACAAGTCCTGCATTCAAAATGTTATTCAAGTAAAAGTACAAAAGTATTTTTGCATCAAAATATACTTAAAGTACCAAAAGTAAAAGTACTCACTATGTAGATTGGTTCATTTTAGAATAATACACTATTATATGTATTGATTATAATTATTGATGCATTAATGTGTTTATGACAGCTGGTAAAGGTGCAGGTTTAATTACTCTATATACTGTAAGTTAGCTTGCAAATTTACTCCAGGTGTAACTAAAGTCTGATTTAAGTTTTGATTATATTTCACATCATTAATCCAAATCTGTAAAGTAACTAAAAGGTACTTGATAAATGCAGTGGAGTAAAAGTATGCAATTTACCTCTGAATTGTAGAGTACAAGTACAAAGTAGCAGATAATTGAAATACTCAAGTAAAGTACAAGTATCTCAAAATTGTACTTAGGTACAGTGCTTGAATACATGTACTTAGTTGCTTCCCATCTCTGGTCAATAGTGTCATTCTGTAGCAATACAAGGGTTTGAAGTGTGAATGTTTACATTCTCTTGACTAATATCATAGTCCCATTAGTTTTATTAGGGGGTTATTTAGTTTTGTTGCATATTCTTCCTCAATCAAAGGTGTCTTCAGTTCAGATTGTGCGTGAATTTACAAATGTGGGATTGTGTTCATGTTTGCCTAATTTTTTCATCAGCTGATGGAGTCTGACCATGGATGAGGAGGTTGACCCTGACAACGAAAACGTGAACTCCGTCTTGGCTCAGGAATCCTCAGAACTGCTCCGAATAATTAGCGGTCAGACACCTGCGGTAATAATGAAGTTGTGCGAAATGATGCCAAGTGAGAGACGTTGGGACATGGTCCTGGGCCCCGGCAGCTCCTCGGCAACACACCACATCGAAGCCATGTTGAAGTACTATATTAGGGCCAAAGCTGCAGATTGCTGCAGCTTCCTTCAGAGCGTGTGTATCTTGTGTGAGAACATCCCTATGCATCTGGAGTCGAGGCTCATGTCAGTGGCTGGAAATGCAAATAGTAAGTATAAAAAAATGCAATGTTTTGCATGTTTTCGTCACGTAGTGTCGAAAACTCACTTCAGTGGTCAACTGACTAATGTGCATGACATTTAATTTCCAATATGTTATTTCCATGGCTTAGAAAAGTTAATTCCATCTGAGAGGACAGAAACTTCTCTTTTTCAAAACCAGAAGACAAAGATGTTAACCTGAAGCTGCTTTTTGACGACCAACATAATGCTTTTCATTATTATACCAAAATGAGTTTCATTATATTGTAGGTTTATCCATTTTAAGCAGAACTTATTTCACTACTGCCCAATTAATTGACCTTGGAGCAGTTCCACAATTTACACAACATGGGTAGTGTAAAATAACATCTAAAGTTTAGTAAAGGGTAATTCAACAACAATGATACAGGGCATGATTTATGGCTACATTTCTCTCTCTGGTTTGACAAGGAAGTGTTTAATGGAAAGCACCTTAGATTTTGGCATTTATGGGGTGTGGCCAGACACCACAGTGCTGCCGTTTAAAATGTATGTGTTTGATAACACATTGTTCCGTTAACAATTTGTTTTTTGGTTGATTGCTGAAAGGGGCAATTTTACATTTAACTGTCATAGTCCTTTTTTTACGTTAAAGTATGTGGATATGAGATCACCTGATTATTTTATTAAAGGCTTATGTAAATACTTATATTTGTTTTTTTTAACTACATTTAAACAATGTTTGACTGCTCAGTTGATACAGGTGCTGTTGTTGTGTATTTTCTTATTGTGCACACAACTATAGCAGCTCCCGAAATAAAATGTGGCCTACCTGGAAGATTACATTGATCAAATACAATGTTAGGCACCAGTGGTCTGTATTGAGGTGAAAATAGTTTTTTTAATGTCTTCCCTCTTGTTTCATAATCATTATCTGATTTACAGTGAAGCGCCCCAAAGCACAAATAGCATTGACAAACTCAATAGGAAAAGTGAAAGCAAAAGAGGGGAGACGCAGCAGAGATCACCATTAGTTTAGTAACTCTTTTGACTTTTGTTTCACTTTAGGAATCCCCTGCATTCCCTTTGATCTTTTATTTCCATGTCTTGATGAATTGAATGTGCAACATATGCAAAACTCTTGCATTGTGCATGATAGCACTTGTCTTTTTTGTAATGCTCCAGTATTCTCCAGGATTTGTTCTGTACTATATGTTTGTTTTGTTTTTTTCTGCATTGTAGATGATTGTGAAAATTCCAGTCCCAGTGTAACGGATGGCAAGACATCTTCGCCGCTTTCAGAGAAGCAGCTCATCAAACGCCCACGGATTGGTAGTACATACACACAACGCGTCAACTTTGTTATATTGCAGCTACAAATTAACTTGGCACCCGGTTAAAGTGAATTGATTTATTAAAACTGGATACAGCCATGCTGCTAATATGTAAAATTGCAGTACTGTAATGTTAAAAAAAAAAGTTTGTCTTTTTACTTACTATAAAAGGTCATTATTTTATTTTTGTACTGTGAACCTTTTAAAGAGTTAATTTGTGAAAGTTCTTCATAGCTGACTGAAGCACTTTTTATGTGTTTGACCTTTCAATGTAAAGTACATGGGGTGGGCTGGCGGGGCCAAACAAATACACAATAAATCACAAATGTGATCGCACCAGAAAATGGTGAGCAACTCTCCTTCCATTTAAAATATTGTATCCAGTTTCCATCAAACTAAAAGTGTCTTTGAGTTTTCTCCTTGCATCCATAACATTTGAAATGAGAAGAATGAGATGTTTCCATTCCACAGTAATGTGCAAATTTAAAGGGGTTACTGGCATCGTAACTCTGTTTCCTTTACTGAGTATCATATTACCAATGACAGCCGGTTCTCGAGTTCAGATGTGCTGAACCAAAACCAAGCTTACTTGACTAAGAGCAACCATATCTGTTAATGTCCAGCACCTGAATTATTAATTTAGAATTTTATATTAACAATAATATTTTTACATTTTAATAATACTATCAGAAATATACATTTTATTTTAAAGTCGCTCAAAGTCACTTTACATCTCATAACATCTCTCTTTAGATATATAATATAATGTGCAATAAGCAACAAAGCACAAATAATACAGTCAAACATAATTTAAATCAACAATAAAATATGCAATTATTAACAGAACGCGATAACTTGCACAAAAGATTTATCCCGTTTCACTTACTGTTACTTTTTACACACTTTGAATGTTGAGTGTTATATAATAACTTTGTTTTTGCAAACCTGCTATTACAAGTACTAAATATTGTCATTGCAACTTTTGCAACGTATCCTCAAGAAGAGCAATTCTGCCCTCTACACATTTTATAATGTTTGATTCCCACAGATCACTGGGAACGGTACATTGCTGCAGTGATGCGGTTACTGCAGCAAAGGTGGAAGCGACTCAGTGAGCGCCTGGTGAGGGACGTCCAGCTGGAGAGTGTGTGGGTCAGCCTGAGAACGCCAAACAGAGGGAGGGACAGACCTGATCAAACCCCTGGATCAGCAGAAAAAGGGGGAAGAACACCAGGTTAGCATGATAGCTTTCAACATGTACTTCCATGTGGTACATGTAGATGATGGAAACAATAAATGGGTGAAAAAACAATGAACCTTTAAATAAATTCATCATAAATACACACCATTATTCTAATCATGCATTAATGAAGTCTGCTCGACATTAACTGAAACACATTTTCACCAAACAGAGCCCGATGGGGATTATGGCTTCATGGATTCCAGAGTGACATTGGAGACCTTCCTTAAGGGATGTGCAGGGAAGGTGACAATTCTTGTCGGCCCGGCTGGATCAGGAAAAACTCTGCTGATGTCTTGTCTAGGACAGCAGTGGGCACAACGGCTAGTAAGTTTAAAACATTCATCATTCAGAGTTCGGCAGGTAAACTGTTATTTTCTATGTACTTTGAGTGGGATTCAACTTAAGAGTCAATATTCTATTGACATATTAGTATAAATGATTGGAATTTCACTAAAAAAGACAAAGAAAGTCAAATTATAAAACCTCTCACCCTTAAAGCACATACCTAAAATAAATATCCATGCCTATGGAATGATTTTAGAAGCATAAAAACAAATAAGATCAAAACCAACACATGAGAACACTAAGGATATGAAGGTAGCACCTGTGGGAAAGTTAGCAGCAACATCAATCACCAGATGGACGGCAGTGCTATGTTTATGGTGTTAAGGAGGCGGACAGCTTCAGGATATCTGCTGTTCCGGAACCTGGATGTTCTGGTCTTAATGCGACTTAGTCCAGCAAGTTGACACTTAAGGCAAAATGTCACCTGCAAACTATTTCTGGCACCAAGTGGTGTAAGCAAATAACCCATACTGTAGGACCAACACAAACACTTAGCAGCTACCAGTTCCACCTCAGGTGCTTGCCCCACGAGGACGCATACGGCCGTTTGCGTAACTGTTTAGTGTCATATAGACCGTTCTGCCACCCTAGGACGACCGAATATGACAGTAAACAACTGCGGTAACGATAACGGGTCCCAAGGTGGATAGCACGGCATACGCAACGCTCTGGGGGGTCCAACGGCTCCGTGAGTAGGACTTATACGATCATTTTGTGATAATGATGACGCAATAGCCCCACCTCCCCCCACCTCTGCTGCTCACCGTCAAAGTAAACTGCACACTGAATTCAGATTATTTATCTTTCTCTCGATATGGACATAAACGCGAGTGGAGTCTAATCTGACAGGACGGAGACACGCAGCTCCACGCAGCTCCTGTGTGTTTTGCTCCTCCCGCTGCATCACAGCGGGTGGAGCAAAACACTCACTTCAAGTCAGATCATCACCCTTAGCTATTTTAATTACCTCTCAAACTACCTAAACTAGTTATAAATGTTTATTTTTACTGTCGGCCGGGTCACTCATTACTGGATCAGCTGCTGCATGAGACAGACACTGACGCTGTCAGAAGAGAGGAAAAAGAGAGGCCAGGCTCCGTGTATTTTATTATTATATATCATTATATAGAGTCGTTATTCATTTGTTTTAAAGCTCAACAAATAACAAAGAAGACCTTTGACCGGCACTTTTATAATTTTGTCCGGAAGATTTAAACTTTAACACACGTTGACCGGCGAAAAACTCTGCCCGGTTCCCTCGGCCCCGACCACGGTGAATAAACAGAAGGGTAACCATGACAACCATGCTTCTTCGCTGCTTTTGTGGAGGAAGTTACAGCGCCACGTACAGGCTCGGCATATGTACTGCAGCTGTTTCCAGCGGTTGGAGCTAAGCGGAGCTCTCTCATGTGAACAGACACTATTCGGTGTATATTGCGTGTGGACGGAAGCTTTTTTGCGATTGCAATTGCGTTAATCCTATGCGTTTTGCCGTATGCGTCCTCGTGGGGCAAGCACCTCAGAAGGAGCTCCACCAATTTCACACATAAGTCTCGATTTACAGGTCTTGGGAAGTATGTGTGAAAAACGTTTTATAAACCCTTTTGTTGCTCCAAATGAGGGCTGGTTGAAGCTGATGCTGAACCAGTTTTTCATGTTTCCATTGCAATGGCCGGCACTTTGGCCCAAACATTTTTTAACTCAAGCACCAACAATCTGTCGCCACTAGTTCTTTAATGTCCATTGGGTTTGCAGGGCCTTAAAGGTTTTCCAATCCTTTATGTGCCATTAAGCTGGCTACACACCAACCCGATTTTGGGAGTCAGAGGCCGTCAGAAGCAGTCGGGCATTCGCGACGCCCTACTCAGGTTGGTGTGTCCCGCACCGTCGTCTCTTTACGGCACCTTTTCACACCTCCCGCGGGAGGTCAGAGAAAGTCGGCCCAAGCAATCACTCTGATTGGCTGTTGACACTACCGCTGCCTGCTGGCAAGGACAGTTATTGCCACTCGTCGACTGAAGTATTTGCGGTGTGTTCGTAGGCGGGCGGCGTAGCCGACGCAGGCGATGTAGCTGACGTAAAAGTCGGGACGCCTTCGGTACGCGTTCTTTGGTCTCAGGTGGGTGTGTAGCGGCCTTTAGAAACACATTCAATGGCTCCCTGTGGAGTAATGTGTTGATCCAACTTTAATATTTGTTGGTCAGGGTTTAAATATGTGTCGTCTGGTGTAAGGGTCAGTAATATATTAAAAAAATGATTTTACAAGAGTACTTCAGGAATTCAGCATTGAGCATTGCACGACTTCCAACATTGTCAGGCTCATGATTGTCAAAAAAGGAGAAACTCTGCACATTTGCTTTTTGCTAGTAGAGGCTATCCTTAAAGGGAAACAGGCTGCAGCTACCTTTAAAAAAAAAAAAAAACATATGCAGTACAACTCCACAAGACCTGTTACAGACTTTGGTGTGTACAATTGGTGCAACTGCCCTTTAACCGTTTCTTCTCTGCTTGGTTGATTCTCGCACTTTTATTTGGTTTTCTTACTGTTTTTTATCCTCTTTGAATCGTCAAGGCCCCAATCCCTTCGTCTCACCTGTTTGTCCTGCTGGAGTTTCGTCATCTCAACCTGCTGTCCTGCCCTCTCTCCTTGTCTGAGCTGCTATTCCGACACTACCTCCCTCTGAAAGGATGCAACGAAGCAAAGGTATGCAGGTAGAAACACCTGAACAGGGCCTTCATAAATCAGGACTTTTCTGATTGTACATTGGAAAGTAGTACTTTAAACATCATATTACATCTAGAATAGTATAATCATATTGTTGTCAGGTTGGTTGGCTGGGTCTGTATTAATATTCCAATATTTTGTATTGAAATCTTCCAAAAAACAAAACCAAGAAATGGGACATTACAGTGTCACACACAAAAATAGGGCCTAGTGTTGGTCCTGAAAGTTCAATTCATACATTTACAAAAATAACTGTTAAAAATCTAATTGAAATTACCCATTATAAAAGAAAGAATAGTTTATCTTTGAGAGCAGATAAGAAAATAAGTAATAAGGGCAGGATAAATGTGACCAAATAAAAGTATGTAGACTCAAGTGAGTCGTTTTCAAAATTCCTCATGTTTTCTGTTTTCTGAGCAGAGAGCCATTATGGATTACCTCATCTCCAATCCAGAGCAAAGCTGTTGGGTGCTGGATGGCTATGACGAGTTTCACAGCAAAATCACCAAACAAGAGTTGCACGGAGAGCCGTTGGACGCAGACAAGTCTCTGCCTGTTTCAGACCTGGTCTCAGGGCTGTTAAATCGTCAGCTTCTTCCAGGATGTACCGTGGTGGTCACCTGTCGTGCACAAAATGTCAGCGATTTGGAAGGCTTATCCGACAAAGTGGGGCATCTGCTGGGGTGGGACCGCCATGAAATCAAGGAGTATGTGGACAATTTCTTTGGATTAAAAGGTGAAAACATGTTTACATTGTGATATTTGTTATTCTGCATTGCATGTCTGTAGAATGAGGAAATGGGTTTCCATTGGGCACCTGAAGCACACAGAAGGAAATTGTCCATTGCATAAGTTCTCACTTTCTGAAAATACTCAGCTTGTTTTAGGCAATGGGTGGCATCTGGGTAAAGCGTGCAGGCACAACTTGATGCAAAATGAACTGTGGTCTCCTAGTCTGTGTCCTGAGTCCTCAAAAATTCCTTGTATTCGTCTGATGATTTTAACATCCGTCCTTACCGACAAAGTTCATGATTCTCACCGTCTTTCCAATAACAACTGAAAATGACCCTACCTGATTTTGACATTTAGTTTCCCAAATGCAGCTCCTCTGTTTAATGCCTTGAGCATTTTAGGGTTGCATTAAAGGTGTGAAAGGGGATTTATAAGTGGATACCATTAACAGATACAATGACAAGGGGAGAACATGCATACTTGCAGCAACTGTGCACCACATGCTGAGTTATTTAGTTGGTTGATGTTATTTTGGTCACTTGATTTGGGTCCAGTAGTTATTTTGTATTGTAGACAAATACTTATTTATATAATTTTCCAAGTACCTTGAAAACATAGTTGCAGTAAAAGATGATTCCAAAAACTCTCCTTGTAATCTCAAGCACTTCTTGGCATATGAAGTCAATTTTGAATGCGTATGCTGCTTTCCAAGTTTCAGGAAATATCGCCCAATGATGTTTTCATCCACCAAACACTGGAACATGCAGCAAGACAATTTTTTGAGAGAGAGAGAGAGATAATTTAGGATGTAATCCTTTCTCAGACCATTTACATGCACAAAAACATATATAACACACTACAAGAGAGGGGAAACCCCAAAAAGCATAATAGGGCCCCTTTATAGCTAGTTTTGATTTGGATAGAACTTGTATAATGCAATCCCTGTGCGTTTTAAAATCAACCTTTTTCACCTACACATATTTTAAGTTACTCTGGGTTACCTTTGCTCTGCTCTAAGATGGCCTGGGCTTCACCATGCTGTTTCACATAAGATCACTAAACTGCATATAATAACAAGAATCATAACAGATGCAATACAAAATAAAACTTGAGAGACAGGACTATGTCAATCAAGCCTGTTTGAAAATGCTTCCGCAGTCATAAAATAGTTCTGATAAAGCATAACAAGCAAAAACAACTATTCTATGGGTTTAAGATTACTGTGATATCTGTGGATTAGGGGGGTATTTGTGCTGATCTATCAGGCAAAGGGTCAGTGGTTTGACCCCAGCCTCTCGGATTACATGTTGAAGTGTCCTTGGGCAAGATACTTAACCCCAAACTGCTCCATTGAGCAGTGTATGTAAGTCACTTTGGATAAAAGTGTAAGCTAATTACATGTTATACTAATCGTTTCTTAATTTATGTCTTAACTGCATAGGTCACTCATCACACAAAGCTATCGGGCCGCAAGCAGCAGATCTTCTTCTTTCCAGCCGACACCTCCTCGCCATGTCGTCCCTCCCTGGCCTCTGCAACACCTGCTGCATCTGTTTGGAGTATTTATTATTGGAAGCGAGGGAACCAAGTAAAAGAGAGATACATAGAGACAGTGGAACTGAGGCAAGGAGAAACGCAGAAAGCAATGAAGAAAAAGAAGTGCACATTCCAGGAGGAGGAAGAGGGGAAGAGGGCAGGAGAGGAGAGAGTTATGGTCCGAGGGGAGATCAAAGAAGAGGAAATGACGACATATTGACAGAGGGAACGAATGGTAGAGCCCAGCCAACTCCAACAGAAGCCCAGATACCCCCCACCCTTACCCAGATCTACCTCACTGTGCTCTGTGCATTCCTCAGCCGTGACCCTGACGCAACAGAGAGCAACGAAGGGTCAAAGGCCACGTCAATTCCACAGAGGTGAACACATAGTAGAGCACTGAACATTAACGCCATTAATAGCGGCGCTCCATAAATAATATTTAATTTCAATCTATTTGATTGACAAAGTTAATTCAGAGTCTGATCTCCGGTTATGAAAAGCATTTTGTACAAAGGGAACTGGAATCTTGGGAGATTTTATTCAAACAAATAAGCAACTGTCCAACCGAATAATCCAGAATCCAATAAAATTCATAAAACTCAGCCCACCAGGGATACTAAATGGCCACATTCTGGTTAAAACTTCAATTTTGGATCCTGAAAATGGCAGAAATTGATTCAGCATCCTCAATGACCCCCAAAACCACACCAATATTGTCCAAAAATACAACCTAGATCAAACTCCTGGCAAGATTTATGAGCCAAAATAGCACAACAACATCAAAATGTCTCCAGAGAAAGCTACTAGTGCAACATATTCATTTAATTAGTTCATTTCCAACAGTTGCATCTTCTCATCATCATTCATTATATAAAGTATCAGTGCAGCAGATGTTTTTTTATTATTTGTGTTTTCTGTCTCTGTGCAGTGTTGTGTGCACTCTGGGTCGGTACCGATCTGAGTTGTGTGAGCTGAGCCAGCTGGCCTGGAGAGGCGTAGAGGAGAGCAGGATCCTCTTTATGAAAGAAGAAATTTCTCCGGAGGTTTTGGACTTTTCTATCAGGACAGGACTCTTCTCACAGGTCAGGCAATGCGTGTACAATAAGTTTGATTGAGTGTTAAGGGTTTCTTCTGAAACTAGGGGGTGTATGTGTCTGTGTATTCTTTGGGAGAGCATCTGTCGCCACACTTTCTTAACCATAATTAGGTTTGCTCAGTGTGCAACACATATAGAACACATGTTCGGGAAGCATTAAACATGTTATCACTCAACATTGGAGGGGAATTACTCATGCATTTGTATTGGGAGTGAAATAAGATCCGCTTTTACCTTTAGTGATGGGGTATCTGCACTATTCTATAGTATAAACAACCACAATCAATCCCTCTGGAACAAACTTTGGGATTTTAGCCTTTGCAGACCATTATCTTGCACAAAAACCTATATAACACACTACAGAAAGAGAAAACCCCAAAAAGCATAATAGGGCCTCTTTAAAGCTAGTTGTGATTCAGGTATAGCTCATATGATGCGATTACCTGTGAACTTTGAAATCGCCTTTGCACACCTTCACATGTTTTAAATTATTCTAGTTCACCTCTACCCTGCATAAAGCCGGGCTTCTAGAGGATTCTAGAGTTGTAATAGCTTTGGGGATGATGTCATCATAAAGTGTGGCTTAATATATTCAAATCTGCTTGCACATCCTCCATGAAAAGACACTTTTAAGCTCAACTTGGAACCTCTACTTTTCACAGTTGAGTTGGCATGATAAATAATATTTGTGTCCATATCTTTCTGTCAGGTGGAGCTCAGACGTGAGGATGGTGGGCTTGTCAACTCCTACTGCTTCAATCATCTGACATTACAGGAGTTTATGGCAGCACTCAGAATCATGACCAGTGCTGATGTTAGCGACACGCAGCTTAAAAAGAGGTAGGGAACTCAATTCAGGGAAGACATGAGACACTTCACTTGTAATCAAAATGAACTACATCTGCTGTTTTTACATTGTATTACATTATCTGTTTGTTCTGCATTTACTTCCCCATTTAGGTATTTAGATTGTGGCAAAATCACAAATTATCAGACTAAATGTATGTACAGTGTAGCCTGTATTATATAACCCAATTTCAATACCTCTTTTAAAATCTAAAATCTTTTACTAAAAATACCTCCTCTAAGCTTTGGAATTCCTTATTTGGTGAAACTCCATCTGTTTACACCACAGCACGTCAGTCCAGGTATCCGCCCACTTGTTGCTGTATGCAACCTGTACCTTCGCTAGAAGAATCATCTTATATGAAAAAACAAAATGTCCAATTAAACATCAGAGAGCTTATATCTAAACTCAATACCCAACACCTCAGTCATTAGTGTGCCGGATGTATTATCTGAATATTTAGACCAGTTGTAGAGTACTATAGCATTTTCTGCATGTAATCTAAGGTGCTGTTTACATGGGAACGAAACGGGTTGTATCTGCTACTTTTCTCTTTCGTATAGCCCGTTCGTTCACACGAGGCCGTAACGGAACCGTGGAAACGGACCCCTAAAACGATAACGGGTCCCAAGGTGGATAGATCTGCGGACGGAACGCTCTGGGGGCCCAAACGGCTCCGTGTGTACGTCCTATACCAGGGGTACTCAAATAAAAATCTTAAAAGTCCAAAGAAAATGTTCAATAAGACAAAGGTCCGTTTATTACGGTCATTCAAACTTTTAAACAATTGCAACAAGATTCTTAACACGAGGTTGCAAAAACAAAAATAATCTGTATGCAACAGTTTTCATTGTTATTGTGTCTGTGCTTGATCCCTCAGAGTCGCAGTGTAAGAGCTGCACAGTTATGAATATAGGCAGCTGCACCCTCTTTCATTCAGCATTCCCATTATTGCTTTATAAATGTCTTGCCCCCTTGTGTGTCCACTGAGGTTCGTCAGGCCCAACACATCTTCAACAAACTCCCCCTTTGCCTCATCACAAAAACTCACTAACACCAGCAACTGAGCATTGTCAGTGGTATCAGTGGACTCATCCACAGCTAAGGAAATGCACTGTGCATTTTGTATTCCATCACAAAGCTGATTAATCAAATCACCAGCCAGTATTTATGTTCTTCTGGTTGCTGTGGAATCTGAGAGGGGGATTTGCTTGATTTGACCTGTTATTTCCTCTTTTTGTTTGCCTTCAAACATGGTCTCCATCACTTCAGTCATGCATTATTTTATTATTTCTGCATCAGAGAATGGCTTCAACACCCATGCCACTCTGAGTGAGGACTCAGTTACCTTTTCTCGTTGTGACATAGATGTAACAGGGATCCTGCTTGCAGCTTGATATGATGATTTCATCCCATTAAGTTTTTTGGTTCTTACCGCTGCATTTTGAGGAAAGGTCGCTTCAAAATAATTGTGTTTTGTTTCATAGTTCCGTTTCAAATTGCCACTCTTCACAAGAGCTACCATTTATTGGCATATAAGGCACATTGGTTTGGTGGAGGATGAACGCATAATTTTCAGTCCATTCATCTTTGAATTGCCGATTTTCACTGTCGACTTTTCTTTTACTGGTCATCTTTGAACATGCTTCTACTAGCTGCCTGCTGGTGAAACTAGGCTACTAGCTACAGTACAGATGCAACTAGATGAGCTGTCAACTCTCGCTCTGACTTTTTTTTTTTTAAACTCTCGCTCTGACTCAGACAGGTTGAAAGAGACGACACACGCATTGTTCCCACCTGCATTCCACGAAGACCCGCCCTACTGTGCCTCTGATTCGCAGACTGTTGGTGGGGGAAAGAAACGCTGACGGGATGCTGAATGTGATTGGACCAAAGCGTTGTCTGTGTGTGTCTAGTTGACAGACACACACAGACAGTGGAACAGTCGGACATGCAGAGCGTTGTTTGCAGTGGACATAGCGGAGAATTTTGACTCGTTGCGTTGTGGCGATGTCCGGCAGATAATACAGATAATACATATGAAAAGTATAATTTGCTCAGAGTCCAGAGACAGTTGTGGTTCGGTCCGGATCCGGACCGGAGTCCGGACTTTGAGGATGCCTGTCCTATACGATCATTTTCCTGATAACGATGAAGCCATAGCCCCGCCTCTCCCTACCTCTGCTGCTCACTGCTGTAGCATGGTCAGTAGCTACTGTCAGGGCAACCAGGCAACCATGGCAACCATGCTCAGGTTTCTTCTTCGCTGCTTTTGGTGTATTTTGTGCAGCGCCACTTACAGGCCCGGCATATGTACTACAGCGTCTCCAGCGGGTCGAGCGGTCTCGTGTGAAGGGACATGTTTATTATCCATAAGCCCCCCCCCCCCCCCCCCTCTCAACCAACTTCCTCCTGACTGCTTTTTCTGTTTTTATTTTTGTTTTTATTTGTTTTTTTTGCCTGTCCTTGTTTGTCTACCCTCCCTCATAATGTAAAGCGTCTTTGGGTTCAAGAAAAGCGCTATAGAAATATAATTTATTAATATTATTATTGAGCCGTATCCGTGTGAACGGAAGACTTTTTTGATATCGAATTTGGTTCGTTTGCGTTTCGTTTGCGTTTGCGTTCCAGTGTAAATTTGGCCTAACACTCTTCCTGGAACATACCAGGAATAACCTTGGAACAAGATTACCCGTGTCAATTGAGTACACTATTAGATGTCTGACCTTTCTCCCAAAAAAGGAGGCTAGAAATTCACTGATGCAGGCAGAAAGCGAAAGCTCCAATTACAGTGGTAGAGACTCAGGGGTGGGGGGTGGGGGGGTCACTGACATGACAGATGTCAAGAAACATACATCAAGCAGCAGGAGGTTGCGTCTGCCACCCAATAAAGGTTTGTTGTTTATGGCCATATTAAAGATTATGTTTCCAATTCCTAACATTTTCCGGAATAGCAATACCTGAAGTCTTCACCTTTTTTAATGAACATTTTTCAGCACATGATCCTAATTAGGTTGCTATTTTAGTTTTTACTCCCTTGGTTTGCTAGTAAAAAGCCAGTGTGAACATGACCAGACCTAAAACGATATTTATTTTTCCGTTGTCTGACCAAATTAACCAAACTGTAGGTTTAAAAGTGCCCATGGACTCCTTCTAAAATATCTACTGTATAGGAACAGCCGAAACCCTATGATTTCATAACGACTTGTTTGCTTCTTTAAATTATAAAAGAAATCTGTAATCATACTATCATTAATATATATATTTTTTTTTTCTCTATTATGTTTATTTCCTTCCTTAAGCACTTTCGATCACTGGAAACGTTCCCCAACATAACCTGGGTGTGTATCTTAATCCGAATACATCCTACATTCACATTTCTTTTCTGCATTGGTTTCTCAGATTCAGTCTTAAAACTCGTTGGATGACAAAAACAGACCAGAGGACAGTCTTTACTGACTCCCTGCACCAGTATGTATGTGGTCTGGCTTCCCCGTGCTGCACTGAAGCCTTAGTTGAAGTTGCCAGGACCTCTGGTGGATCAGGAGGCCAGAGTTGGGTCCAAAAGCGTCAAAACCTCGTTCTGAAACTGCTAAAACACTTTTGTCAAAGCAACACCCTGACTGGACCAAAGGTAGAGTATGGACTTAAGTGAGGTCTGACAAATTGATATAGTCATTATTACCCATTCTTTGTTAACTGATGCTTCCTTCTGACATCTTCCCAGATATTGGACCTTTGCCACTGTGTCCAAGAGAGTCAGGACCACCAACTGGCTAAGCAGGCTGTGGATGGGAGATCCACCCTGGAGCTGCGCAACATCCGGCTATTACCTACTGATATTGATGCTTTAGCTTTTGTAGTTAGCTCAGCAGGGGATAATGGCATTGGATTGGACTTTGGAGCTTGCTCAATGGAGTTGGAGTGTTTCGATGTCCTGCCAAGGTGTCAGTACATTCACTCCCTCAGGTAAATCCACACAAACAATCACACATGAGGCGCGTTCACACCGGAGTACTTTTCCCCGTACTTTTCCCGTTTAGTTCTGTTAGTGCCTGGAATTTTGCCTTCACACCAAAAAGAGTACTTAGTTCAGAGAACTTTTACCCCCATTGTTAGTGCCTGCTAGAGATGTGGTACTATCCTGGGGAGAAAAAAGTACCAATTTCGATTGGCTGGGCGAATTGCAAACCACCCCCCGTAAAACTCTGAAAAGTTTTGTGAAGCCGCCATGAGAGAGAATAACTTATGGCAACACAAAAAAAAACATGGGAGCGGTGGAGTGATAAGGAGGTGTCGGCGTTCTGGCGATTTACTCGGAAGGCTTCAGTAGAAGCTGCTGGGAGTCCCAGCAGCTTCTACTGAAGCCAGTCCCCAACTCCGGTGACTTCCGGCCGGGAACTTCGGGTGGCAGTATACGCCGTGAAGTGGTTTGCGGCCTGCCAGTAAGCCCAAAGCAGAAGAAGAAAAAGTGACGTCAGCGGCTTCATTTGCGTAATCTTCCCTCAGGGAACTTATTCCGGTGTGAACGCGATCTGTACTTAGTTCCATGGGGGTACTAAGTGCTGGCACTAAGTGCTGGGCACTAAGTACGGCAAAGTAATTGGTGTGAAAGCAGCTATGGTCTAGGTGCAAGCACTGTGAACCTTGAAATGTGGAGTACCCCAAGGTTTTCTGTAGGGCTGCCCTCGATTAAAGATTTTTCTAGTCGACCAATAGTCGTCAATTCAGGCGATTAGTCAACTAGGCTAGGCACAAAAGGACTCTATGAGCTGGCAAATAGACTAACAGGGGAAACATACTCAGGAAATAGGTGACAAGCAGTTCTGTTTTGTAAACTTCTCAGAAACAACGTATCATATACAGCTAGGTCAAGTTTTAGATAATGGTCTCACTACAATGACATGGCTACTATAGGGACTACAATGATCCCACATGAATACAAGTGGGCCCATGAATCCACAAGAGTCTCCGGTAATAGCCAATTTATGCAATTCCACAACTTGAGGCACCCCAGTATGCAGAAATAATCAAATACACGATTTTTAGGCTAGGCAAAAATAACACATTTATTCTGATTGCTGAAACTCTGATTAATGCCCCAAACTGCATGTGATTAGCATACAGTAAAGAGTCTGTAAACATGGTTTAGCCACTGGACGTATCGAGGATGATTTAACAGCAACAGAGAATTTCACTTAGGAAGGGGCGGCTGTTTTGCATTCCACATTCCTCAGCTCGTTGACCAGCTGTCCCACACACTGTAAATCTGACTGAAGCTCTTTGTTTCCTGTTGTGTTCCTGTGGTGGGCTCAGTCTCTCCGTAACAAGTACAGTCACTTGGATTCAAGAAAAACACGACAGCTGACACTTTTAAATATAAAACATAAAGTCTTAATTGAATCCGGCAAGGGCACGGATTGAAAAGCTGTGTTGTTCATAAGTTTAGCAGGTAAAAGTGAAAACATGGATTCAAGCACACTAGACTTTGTGACCGTGCTGAGGGAAGGCTCCACGTGTAGGCAAACATGGATAATAACAATAACAAGCCAGGAAATACCTCCCATGGAGTTAGACTAGGCTTGTTGTGTAAACACACATAAAAGGTCCAAATGAACAGATACGTAAATAAAGAAGTATTTCAAATATTGATACAAACAAAATAAGTAAAATAATGTGCAATAAAAAGATAAAATAAAGATATTTATATAAACATAAGAAGTTAGAATAAAATGTCCAATAAAATATAAATATAATAGTTATAACAACAATAACAACAACAGCAAAAACAACAATCATAATAATAATAATTAATAATTAATTAATAATAATTAATCATTAATTAATAATAATTCATATCAATAATAAATAAAGTTAAAGTAATACAATAAATAAAGTTAAATAAATACAAACAATAAAAATATGTATACAAACATAAGAAGTTAAAATAAAATGTCAAATATAAGATACAAAAAATAACTATTTATATAAATACTAGAAGTGTTACAAATATTTCCTTTTGTGTACTTAATAATGCATATATTTCGTAGCGTCTCAGTTTCCATACATGGGGGCATGTTTCATTAACCTTTCACTTTACTTTTGTGTGTCTTCAGTTTCCGCAGCCGCAAGTATGGAGACAAGTTTGCTGAGAAGTTGTCGTCCATTCTGCCAAATTTCACAACCCTGAGAAAACTGGAGTAAGATTTACATATTTACTTACTTCTTACAATTGTGAAACATTGGGCACCTCGTTTTTTTTCTTAGGAGCCAGACTCAGCCTTTGTGATGCCTCTGTTTTTGGTTGTTGTTTTGCTTCTCTTTGCGTGTCATACATTTCTGTGGTGTTTATATGTGGTGTCTCATTTTAGTCGTTTTTTGCAGAAATGCTGTTTGTGTGTATTTGTGATTGCTCTTTGTATTGTTTTCCCCATTTTTGTAGTCATTTTTGTGCTTCTTTGTAAGTATTTAGTGTCCTTTTCTGTGTCGTTGTGGTCTTTTAGTCTCTTTTTGTGGTTGTTTGCTCATTGTGTAGTAATTTTGTGTCTCTTTGAAGCCATTTTATATTTCTGTATGGACATTTTGAATGTCTTGCTGGCCAGTACGTGCTGATTGGCAAATGTTGTCTTCTGCAGGTTTTGTTGTGCCAGTCTGACTGCCACAGGAGCGGCTAGTTTGGTCTCTGCTCTCCAAGACTGTCCAGACATCACTGAAATCAAGTATATATATTTATATATAGTATAAATATTTGCAAAAAAGACATGTATTGCTACATTAAATAACATGTCTTCCAGAAGCTTCTGTGTTTGTCCTCAGTTTTATGGAAATGTGTGAACAGATTGCTTTGTGTCTGACTGGATAAGATTGCTGACTCTTAATATCTGATGTAATGGTGAAAGATTTTGGGGTGTAGATCTAAACTTCACAATTCTTTTTTTGTTTTTGCAGTCTGAGCGACAACAATCTTAAAGACAAAGGGAATCAAACATGTAGCTGATATATTTCCTAAAGCACTAGGACTGATCTCTGTAAAGTAAGTACAAACTGGATGTAATATTTGGAAACTTTGGAAACAATTTTTCAGAACAATACACAAAACAATTGATTTCTTGAATTAAATAGAGGATTTAAAATTGTACCTGTTTCCTGAGGAAAAAGGTTCACAGATAATAATTAAAGTTATTAACATGATCAAGGAGTTATATGAATTGACAGTCTCTAAAAAATACATTGGGAAACAAATTAGTTTTTGATTTTTTTTACCACAAACCATTTTAAGGTATCATAACAAAAAATGAAATGGGACGAAATTAGCTCTGATGAAGATTGGTATTATATAAAATAATAAATATGTTCTGCATGCCACGGTCGACATTTTAATTTGTGTGTGTGTGTGTGTGTGTGTGTGTGTGTGTGTGTGTGTGTGTGTGTGTGTGTGTGTGTGTGTGTGTGTGTGTGTGTGTGTGTGTGCACCTTTGCAGGCTGGGTCGAAACAACAGCTCTCTGGAAGCAGTGGACTATCTCATCGACAAAATGTCTTCATGTTTGAACTTCCAGAACTTTAACGCAGAGTACGGCCGCACCCATGCACACACACACACACACACACACACACACACACACACACACACACACACACACACACAGTGCCAACTAGTTGTTGTTTTTGTGCAATATTTAACATAAAGACCATACAGTACCTCCACACACATCCACATGTCCCACTCAACAATTTCAACATTTGCCTGGAATGTATTGACTCCTCCCCTCATGCCCCAGTTAATTACTGTCTTCTCAGTCACATACAGTATTGAGTCTTACCAATTTACTTTATAGAGCTCAAGGAAGTGAAGTTAAAAGACATCATAACGAAACATTGCTCTATAATATAGATGTCTGTCTTTCTTTGCAGTGGGATGAAGGAATTGACAGTAACTTTCTCCCAAACCTCAGATTTGAACAGGTGAGTTTAATGGTTGGAAGTGTCTATGAATAACATAAAATGAGAGCTGCACATATTAATGTCTGTCTTTTTTATGTATTACCATCCACAGCCATAAAACTAAGTCTGAACCGACAATCAGGTAGGACAATAACGCTCTTATCAAATACTCCCTCCTTTCCAGATTTTTTACTAACATAGCCAGCTTCCTTGAAGACCTTTGCTCCCCCCATTTGAATGAGGTGCCATAACCTGATTGTAATTTTTTACAATCTTGATCAGAAACAACCTATAAACCATGCCGTTAAGCAGCTGGAAAAAAAGTTTAAATTCTTGTGATGTTGATTTGAATTTGATTCAACTTAGATGTTCTTTGGCTATCTTTATTGTTGATACGTTTTTCTCTTGTTCTCCAGCTTGTTGAACCAGAAATGGTGCAAGACTAAGATGCAAAAACTTGCAAATTCATTGGCCCGTTGCCCTGCCTTGTCTGTCCTGGAGTAAGTAAGCCTATATACACCTCTCTAGATTTAGGATACCCTAAACCAATGATAGTACCAAACACAGAACAGAATAATAGAGTTGTGCAGTAAGGACGTATTATTGTAGGCCACCTGTTTATTTCTTGGAACGGCTCCCTTCATGGAGAGCAAAATAATTGTTTTCATCTGATTTTGCAGAAAATAAAAAAAAAATGTTTAATACTTTGTTGTATAGCAGGATAAGTAAACAAAATAACACCACTTTATGATTTTTGAAGCATAAATGCAATTGCCAGAAGTAAAAAGCTAACGTTATACGCTTTGACGGCACTACAGCATGGACACAGGGTTGCTAATCACCAATGTTAAGCTAAATGACAGACACATCAAAACATTTGGACATTCACCAGTTGAGTATTTAGTGACATATTTTATGTCAATGTGAAAACATTTGAGCGTGTACTATTCACAGACTTTATTTCAGGCATCTAACCAAAAACATGTTAAAAAAAACATTGATTTCGAGACAAGGGAACTGGAAGTGTTAATATGATGACTTATTTCCAGTTTAGGACTCATTCCTGCACCTCTCCATGCAGCAATGCACTATAACAACAGCGAGTTATCACTTCATTGATTCATCCTATATCCTTACTAAATGAAATACATACTCTTTAAATCTACAACAAAGTATTACATTGCAAGTATTTAATGTGAGTAGTTGGTAAAAATGTTTTTTTCATACTCTTTAATTTGTGATAGCAGGACACTACTGATGCTACAAATCCGTTGATTTACTCAAATTGAATGCTAATGTGGTTTTGTGTGTGTGTGTGTGTGTGTGTGTGTGTGGTGTGTGTGTGTGTGTGTGTGTGTGTGTGTGTGTGTGTGTGTGTGTGTGTGTGTGTGTGTGTGTGTGTGTGTGTGTGTGTGTGTGTGTGTGTGTGTGTGTGTGTGTGTGTGTGTGTGTGTGTGTGTGTGCATCCTAGTATATCTGGAGGCCATTTGGATGTTGAAACTCTGAGGATGCTGACTAAGTTTGTTCCAAAGTTCAAAGTCACCAAAAAGATCATGTGAGACTGGATTCTGTTGGCTTTACTGATATGCCTTATTGCTATACTGTATTTTACATAGCTTTCAAAAAAGTAGCTTGAACACCTTTAATGCACACTTCTGATTTGTAGTGTTTATGGATAGGCAAATACAGAAACAGTGCTCAGCAGAGATAAGAGTGAAACAGCATCTTTTTGAATGTCCAGATGTTTATTCTCAGTGCCGATGACTGCTGCTCTTCAGTGGAGGGTTTAGTGGTTCTGACTGCTCTGCTGTCTGACTGTCCTGCTGTGGTGGAGCTTTCTATCAGGTACAGACACTCTCTGGTAGTGTGCGTTATATACACTAACTGCACACATTTGAATATACTCTACATGTATACGATCATTATGCACAATTGTATCAAGGTAGAAATAAATGTAAAAAATACGGGACTGGGGGAATGCGATACTGTTTAGAAACTTTAGATCAAAAACTCAGAATTTGCTAGATTTATGAGAAAAACTCAGTTTTAACTGTTTATTTTCTTAAGAACATAAAGTCATAAATTAGCGAGCAAAACTCAAAAATGATCTTTGATTTAATTCACAAATTTACAAGAATTAAAAAAACTAAAATATAGTTGTATTTATTGTACTTCACTTTGAAGGGTTGGATCAACCTCATAACTCTAGTTTATTATTTTAGAGAAAATTGAAGTACATTTTTCGTAAATATATGAGAATATGCAAGTTTGTATGTCTTGTAAACATCTGATATGCTTTCTCTGAATATTACCCCCTTCCCTGGCACTGCAGTTATTATTATTTTTTTTAATTTGACCTTTAATTGCAATATGCACCGTCTATTATCAGGCTGGACTGTCATGCTATTCCTCTGCAACATTTATTAATGTATTTAACAAAAAGCATAATTTAAATTGTACTTATAGGCCTTTAGTTTCATTATTTAACTGGATACTGTTTTGTTATGACACATTGATAGCAATCACATATTCTTAATACTTATTTTAATTTAAATAAGAGTGTAATCACCACTATGGAACTGTACTTTTTATGTTTCAGGCTACAGAGTCCTGTCCAGGTGTCCATTGTTTTTTCTGGAGGGAGAGAAAAAGCTGCGAATGAAAAGTCTAAAATCCTCTGGTGTGTATTAAGTTACTATTTCACACTATTTCACAAACAAATATGTCAATTCCAGAAAGGCAAGGAAGCTAAGGAACATTTAGGTTTAGGGGTCAGACAGAGTAGCAGAAGTCTTAAAAGTAGGCAGTGATAATAACTCCATCCATTCTTGTGAGGAATAGGTTTGACTGAGGCAGTATATTATGTGAGGGGGCAGTGTGGCAATAGGTTGTTGTTGGAGGAGTTCACAAAATGGTTGGAAGGTTAATGTAGGGCAGGAGGGAGGGGCTTGATCTGAAATGACTTTATATGGAAATGAAAGAGACAAGATTGCTCATCTGGTTGTGACACTGAAACAACTTCTAAGTAAGCAGTTACTTTCGAGCATCCTGTCGCAACAGGATGTAGAAGGGGTGGAGGAGGGCTGCGTCGAGTCACCTGCAATGACAGCTGTCAGGAGGGGAGGGAGCAGATTTAAAGGTTTGACGATGCGCTATGATTGGATTGTGGCAATAGAGACGAAAGTGAAAGGTTTAGCTGGGGAGTGAACGCCCCAGATCGCTGATTGGAGGGGTGAGTGTAGTAAGATGGAAATATGTGAATGACAGATATAAAGACGGTCTTCCTGGTTGAATTTGCGCTGAGCTTCATATATCTGTTTAATCTCACAGTTAAAAAATGTTCATAAGAGGAACTATATATTTTCAGAGGTTAGGATTTTCCAGGTTTGTTATTCAACTATAGTTAAGATAGAGATGGCATTGATGAAGATACTGTTGAATATCCTTTTTAGATATGTATAAAGGAAAGAGAAACGAATGTGCTTCAAAATATATTATTTATTATAACAGTGAAGATTTGACATCCAAGTAAAACAACAACAGGAGGGGAACTTTATTTTTTTATTAGCATTTCATCACAGTGGATGTTACAGTTGAGCAGGGCAGGTAGGACCCAAGTGCAGCATGGACAAAGGCTTGAACTGAGAATGACCTTTATTCAGGGTTACAACTATTAAACAGACCAAACCGCTCTTCCTTGTGAACTCAAAGAACCAACAGGAAACTGGTTCTGAAATACATACAAGACCAATCAAGAAGACAAGACACAGCTGGGGAGGGGAGGGAAAACACAAAGGCATCTGGTGAACAGGATCAGACAGGAGGGACAACACAGAGACAGGAAGCAAATACAGACGTGAGACAGGGGGTGAACACTTAGACAATAACACAGAAAATAAACAGATCGTGACAGTGGATACCAAAAGAAGTAAAAAAGTACCTACAACAAAAATAGGCTATACTTACTGTACAGTACACATCATAAAGAAATAACAAAACATTATAATAATAATAATAATAAAAGAAGTTGATTCTAAAACGGTCCCCTCTGTCAGTCTCAGCTGCTGTGATCTGCTGCCGGCTCATCTGGAAAAAGTGTGGAGAAGTTTGGGGGCGTCGTCTGATCTAACTTCGCTGGAGTAAGACAATTAAAAATCACTTAGTTTGTTTAGTACTTGCATGCTTAAGCTGGATCATTGTTAACAGTCAATATACATGTAGCAGAAGAAGTGGTCTACATCAGGGGTGTCAAACTCAAGGCCCGGGGGCCAAATCCGGCCCGTGACTTCATTTTCTGTGGCCCCACAAGAGCTTGCAAAGAATATGATATGTTTATTATATGGTTACATGATGATTTACAGAAGCACGTTGCCCATAAACTACATGTCCCACAATGCATCTCAATTTAGACTTTTTTCTCAGAATTGGACTTTCTTTCTTCTAAATATGACTTTTTTCTTAGAATGTGCCCTTTTCTCAGAATTTGACTCCTTTTTTTAAATGTTACTTTTTTTTAAATGTCACTTCTTTTTTTTAAAGGTTTATTTAAAGGGTTAGTTTTTAAGTGGGGTTTTATGAGGTACTTATCCATAGTCAATGAATTACTTAAAAGTAACAGCATGGCAGCTAGGCAATGTGTTGATGTTGACAGGGGCAGCAGCAAAACATATTTTCAGGAAAAGGCCAACCAAAAAAAGTATTATCAGATCGAGGCAACGTTTGAACAGCAACTTCAGAGTGTTAAAATTACTGTTTGTGTCAATGGAGTCTGTTGGGATTAACTTAATGATAGTAGGATATAATGGCAACAGTTCACTGTTGCAAGAGACAGTGGAAATATTCTAAATATTGCGTAGACTTAAACTTATATTTATTTGTTATCCTGCCTTAATACAGCACTTCCTAAATACCTATGCTGTATACAAACTGTCAATGGATAAATACCTCATTCAACCCCACTTCAAAAATATAAAAATGTTTCCCTACTTTAATTGTTATTTTTATTTATTTTTCGTTGACATGACTATACTTCATTTTCTCTGACTAGTTTTTATTCCCACATTTGTGTCTTATCAGTCTGTCCAGCAACTGTTTAGGCAAAAAGGGTCTGAAGATACTGTTGGAGGTCCTGCCTCGTCTTGGTAGCATCCAGGAAGTGAAGTAAGACTCACACACAAAAGATACATAACAATAACAAAACTTTACTTTACTAACATTTCCCATGATCTCTATACCAAACATTTAAAGATTCAGATTCAAATATGTAAAGGCTTTATTTGGCATATACACAATAGCTCTAGAGTTGTTGTTAGCAATTCAAATCTATTCAGAAATCAGTCCAATGAGTGTACTGTGATATTACAATATAAATGAAATGGCATCGATTATTGTACACTATAATGAAATAAAAAGACTTGTAAAAAAAATAAAAATAAATCAGTCCAATGGTGAAGGTAAAAAAGCAGAAATAAATAGTATGTACATGTAAAATAGAACAATATACAACAGAATGCAAACTGTCCAATCGAATAAAATACTGCTTATTGTAATAATATGTAAATATTTGGATTGCAAACAGATGGATGTGCTATAAACAAAAAAAAGGTAAATAACAATTACAGAGGTCATGAATTTAACAGGTTGGCTAATTTGCATTTGATACAAAGGAGGTACCTTTTTTTAAACGGTGGCTCTGTGCTTTGTCACGCTATGCTGATCTAATCTTGGTGGTTTGGCAGAGGCGGGCCAGTTATTTTCTCACCAAACAGGTTTCAGACTAAGTGTGCCAGCGCTGGCAGCTACCACGTTTACCCGAGGGCATTATCCATTATGAATGGCTTATTTTAGAGCTGAATTATGTCCCCCCCCCCCTTGGCTCATTGTTCTTGTTTGTGTTTTACAGCGCCAGTAACAATGGGATTGGCAGGGAAGGAGTGGCACTGCTGGCTGGTGCTTTGTCCTGGCATAACAATTTAACACAAATACACATCAGGTACTGTTTGCAGAACATTTCATTAGAGCAGCTACAGAGTGAGCACCTGTTTCCCCAGCGTAGCGCGCTAAGAGTTAGAAATGCAACAGCTGACAGAAGCGGCTTAATCGTTTATAGTTATTACTGTTTATACAATACTAACATTTGTGCCATAATACAGTTGCTTCAAAATGATTTGATTGGGCAGACAATGGAGACTATAAACTGGTGTGCGGATTGTTAATAGGAAAATGTCCTTTTGGTTTTACAGTGGCGGAGACAGAGAGCAGGTGATCCTGAAGTTCTGCCCTGACAAAAGGTAGAAAGCTGTGAAAAACATAACAGTCTCTGCATTTGTATTTGTCAGCTAATTATATGTTGTGTTTTTCCTTTTAGGAAGGACAAACAGCACCTAAAGATGTTCAGGTACAGCAAGCCCATAGAGAAGATTTTAGGGAAAACGCAAATGTTACTTTCTTAAATCACAAAAGATCCAATATAAGCAATTAGTTGGAAATTGAAATGTAAGGAAATCATCCACTTCGGGAGGGAACACAAATGGGGTGAAGCCTGCGAGCTAGTTCAGGCAGTCAACTCGAGCACCAATGATACATTAACACGTGACGCGCCTCATCCCTCTTACGACCAACCAAACACATTCTCCTAAACATGCCGCTCTATTTGCTTATTTAAGCAGTTTCCTAAAACGTGTAATGCAAACAAAATGTCTTGATGTCAGTTATTAACAGGGGGAAG